GAACGGTGCAGCTGGCCATGTAGGATCCAGCCACTTTAACCACTGAGCTACTTGGATGGCTCCCTGGTATCTATCTTCTATGTAATCAAATTTTACTGGCTAGTTGAATAAGATAAAGTAGGTAGAGAGGTAGAAAAGGTTTTGAGTTAGATATAAAGGAGTGAAGATTTTTCCTACCAAGAAGAAAGACAGAATTTCAAACACTTAAAGATGCCAATGATATAATTTAAATACCTTTGAAGTAGCCATGATTACTTACATAAACTTGAGCTCTGTACTTGACAAGGCAGTTGGCACCAGATTCAGGATTAAACTTAATTTCAAAGTCATATCCTTTGGAATTCTCAGCACCCTTAGGAATAAGTTTTAATTTTCTAGCTAATTTGTGATACTCTGCTAACTGTGTTTCAATCTGTAAGGAGAGAACAGAAAAGAAATGTTAAAAATAAAGTAGCCCTGTTTCATATGGCTTTCAACTGGCATTTCTGCAATTTTATACGAAATATATATGTTTTTAGTAGTTTAGTAATTTCTAGAAGTAAAGGTGGCAGTTTTAAAATATATAGAGAATAAAAGGTTTTATGATACTAAATTAGAATAATTTTAAGACTGTAATTAATAAACAATATGTTATTATTCTTCTATTCACAAATACTTTGGAATACTATATTTAGATAAAAACAAAATTTTTTTTAAGGTTCCAGATAGAGAAATTATAAAACCAAAACTATCTTAGTTTTGTCAATGCATAGACTATTTACCTAAAAATAAGTGAAATGTAGTTACTTAAATCTCAAAATAATAATTTACTGTATTGGTGAAAATATTTTAAACATATTTAATTTTCCTGCTCTCCTTCAAGGCTCTGTTCAAATTTATGTCATCAGAGAGGCTTTCCCTTAAATACAACCTCCAATTTTTCTAAACCTTCACTTTACCCCCTTTGGAAACTGATAAAAGATTTTGTATTTTTTTTTAAATTGACCTCATTTTTAGTTTATTTTCTAAAAGTAGAGATGTCTTTACATATGCTTGAAAGTATGTCTGTCGAACCTTTGGAAGACATTTCAGACCGAAGAAACCTACAATGCATATCTTACCAAATTGTTAAGGGATTCCTCCATTTAATACACACTTAATTTCTCAGTGCTATTATTCATCCATAAAAATGAATCGTTTGAGTAAACGAATGCAAGAACACAAATAGGAACTTGCTTAAATAATTAGCAATTTCCAAAAATGCATCAGATCTCAAAAGTAATAATACTTAAATTGAAAATGTTTCTGTTAAGGATCCAGGAAATCATGTCTATTACTATAATACAGTGGCTCTCTAGGAACTCCTATGGCCTATAGGTCCATTTGTTCTTTTTTTTGAGAGGTTTTTGCTATAGGGCACATGTGCTCACCAGAAAGAGAGAGACAGAGAGACAGAAAACGAGAAATCACCCCTCCAGAGGGATGGCCACGCCACAATCCCTTCTCCTTCATTCTCCTCTTGGGATCTTGGGCGCGCAAGCACATGCGCCCAGCGTGAGTTTAAGCCACCGGGTCCAGGACTTGAACTGTGGTTGGCTATGTGGGAGTTCAGCGACATAGTCATTACGCTAACTGCTGGTCCCTAGACCCGTTTGTTCTTATGTTAACTGGTCCTAGGAACAGCTCTGATCTTCACTAAAATTTTCTTTCTTAATCTCAGGAAAATGCCTTTCACAAACCCACGGTCTTTATCATGCTTAACTGCATGGACAACAAACATGTGGCACATGTGCCTCTCCTTTCTCCTTTTCCCAGTCAATTTAAATTGTAAAGATTATACTCTCACAGTGAATCTTAAATGAAGTCTTAATTTCTGGCTTAAAAGAGACCCAGAAGGCTACTACCAGTCAGAGTTGGCATGTATAGTAAAAACTAAAACATGAGGGATGAAGTGTTTATGCTAATCTTTTGTATTTTGCCACCATCCTTTAATATCCCTCCTGGCTGACTTTCAGGTACCTACTACCTACCCACTACACTAAGGCTTTCTTCTTTCACACTGTTCACAGCCCTGCTCTGACGCTCCACTAGGGTGCTGCTTACCTGCTTTCCACAATGTTTTCTTTCAGCTTGACCCTCCAAATAAAAAATGTTATTATTATTTTTTTAGTACAACTTATTTTAGTTAAACTCAGAGTTCACGTAGTCCAGAGTCATAACTTTCCCTTTCCCACAGAGTGCTTGAGAGAAAAGGCACCTTCATTCATGTATGCTGAAGAAACTAATTTCACATCCACTGAACTACTCTAACTACACACCATTTTACAAATAAGTAAACTGAGATTATGAGAGGTGAGATGACATGCTAAGCTCACAGAGGTGGGATATGGCAAATCCAGGGCTAAAACTCATGTTTACCAAATTCTAGGTTCAAAGACTTTCGTTCCACCCCCACAGGCTATTTCTTCTTCTTTTTTCCTGAGAGGTTTTTGCCTTAGGGTGCGTGCACTCTCCTGTGGGGTAGGGGGAGAGAGACAGACAGACAGAGGCAGTGAGAGGGAAAGTGAGAAATTACTCCCTGGGCGGGAGGGGGGTGGGGTGAGGGATGGCCATGCCGCAATCCCCTCTCCTCCATTCTCCTCCCAGGATCTTGGGCATGCACAAATATGCACCCAGCGTTGACTTTCGAGCCACCAGGTCTGGAACTTGAACCATGTGGAAGTCCAGCGACGTAACTTCTATGCCATCTGCTGGCCCCCAAAGGTGAAAATTTTGAAAATTATTTTTTCCTTGGTGACTTTTGGCTTATTTCTTCATTCATTGTTATAAAATATAGTCTAACTTGCCTACAAAATACTGGAGTGTTAGTAAATTGACTACAAGGGGTAAGAGTGCTGTAGTAAAATGTAAGGGCTAAGAAAATGTCCATCTTTAGCCAAATTATTCTACTCTGAGTTGTTCTTAATTAGGATAGACCTGTACAAAGGCCAGCTGTGATGTACTGCCACTATGAAATGAGTATGACTTACTGCCTCTTTGCCTCTGGCGTATTTTAGCTCCTCATTCCACAACTGCTGCTGTTCAGACTCTAGTTCCTTGGTTAACTTATTAATAGTCTGCTGCAATTCATTTCTTTCATGATTTATTCTCTCAGTGTCTGCAACTGAATACTTCTGGTTATCAACAATATTCTGTAGTCGAGTATTCTCTTGTTTTATTGTTTCACACTCTAGCTCTGCAAAGAAAAGAAAAAGAATCACATTTTCAGTTTCTTTAATTTCTACAAAAAACCTGATACCATTATGAAATATAGGTAAGATGTCTAAGTTTCCAAGTTATACACAATTCCCCCCCCCTTTTTTTTTTTTTACAATTATTCTGTTTGATCCCACTTTGTTAGTAAAATCTTTGACAATACAATTAAAGTTTTATATCAGAATCTTATGTCTCTACTGACTTGCTATGGCCACTACTATATATATATATCTAGCTTCACACTTAATGATTACAATCTTTACACTTAAGAATAATCTGTATTAATGTTCAGTTCCAATGCTTTTGATGCTTTTGCACATGGTTTTCAAGTCTGTTTTTTTACAAACATAAAAATAGTTATTGTGAGGAACCAGCAGGTGGCACGGTGGTTAAGGGCGCTGCACTCCTACGTGGTCGACTGCGGTTTGAGTCCCAGGTCTGGTGGCTTGCTTTCTCATGTTCTGTCTCTCACTCTGTCCCTCTCTGATCAAATTAAACTAACTACATAAAGTTAAATAAAATAATTCTAAAAAAAATTTATATTGGGACCAGCAGTTGGTGTAATGGCTATGTCACTGGATTCCCATGTAGTCGACCATGGTTCAAGTCCCAGACCTGGTGGCTTAAACTCATGCCGGGCACATGTGTTTAAGCCACCAGGTGCATGTGCATGCCTGCCCAAGATCCCGAGAGGAGAAGGGATTGAGGTGCGGCCATCCCCCTGGGGGTGTGTGTGTGATTTCTCGCTTTCTGTCTCTCTGTCTTTCTGGTGTGCGCATGTGCCCTATAGCAAAATCCTCCCCCCCCCAAAGAAAAAAGAATGACAGCACTTGCAGTTTTTTATCATCTTTTTTTTTTTTTTAGAGATTTTTGCTATAGGGTATGTGCGCTCACCAGAAATATAAGAGAGAAATAAAGAGACAGAAAGTGAGAAATTACCCCCCAGGTCAGATGGCCACACCACAATCCCTTGTTCTCCATTCTTTTTTAGGGGGAGAGGTTTTTGCTATAGGGCACGTACATTCACCAGAAAGACAGAGACAGAGACAGAAAGTGAAAACTCACCCCCTGGGAGGATGGCCACTCCACAATCCCTTCTCCTCCATTCTCCTCTCGGGATCTTGGGCATGCATGCACATGCACCTGGCGTGAGTTTAAGCCATTGTGTCTGGGACTCGAACCGTGATCAACTACATGGGAGTTCAGCGACATAGCCATTATGCCAACTGCTGCTCCCCTCCATTCTCTTCTCTATTCTCCTCTCGGAATCTTGGGCACACACACACACACATGTGCCTGGTGTGAGTTTAAGCCGCTGAGTCCAGGACTCAAGTGGCAGTCGACTACATGGGAGTCCAGCAATGTAACCATTATGCCATCTGCTAGTTCCAGCTATGCCTCTTTTTTTCCAATTATTTTCAGCTGCAGAACTTCTTAGGCAGTAGTGACAGATGATAGGATAGTTACAGCCAACTGAGGCAGGCAGAGATCAAGTATCTGGCTTGTTAATTACAAAGTATACTAAATATTTATAATAAGACATTATATTTATGAATATATCTGTGTGTGTATATAGGTATGTGTACACGCACATACTATACTATCATTACCTAACTAAAAAGACTTCAAAAAGTCAGATTGGAATAGAAACAAACAAGTGCCAGGATGAAATATATATACATATTTGGCAGCATGTATTCTTAGGTTAGGTCTCTCTTGGCTTCAAACCCCAGACATATAGAAGGTTTAATAATGGCCACCCAAGTATCTAAGTCCTAATCTCTGGAACTCAGAAATGATTACCTTATTTTGAAAAAGGGTCCTTGCAAATGCAGTCATTTTAAGATGAGGAGATTATTTTGGATTATTCAGTTAAGTCCCGAATTCCATTAGGTGCCCTTATAAGGTAGATGCAGAGGGAGATTTCACAGATAGAAGAGGACAGACACATGGAGAAGAAAATGTAAAAACACGGCAGAGACTGGAGTGGAGTG